CAAAACGAAACAATTTTAACCGCACGCAGCATTTGTTTATTTGCATATGTGCATACATATAAATGCATCTACATAGGTATGTATATGTATTTACAAACATTTTTATGCGCTTGCCTTTTAGCGTGTTTAAAATTTTTTCAATGAAGAATTTACTAATTGTTGACGAAAATATGGTTTACAAAATTTTCGCAAATTTATATTAGTTAATTGGAATTTTTATGAAAATAACGTTTTCCCTAAATTTATCCAGACATTTTTTGTAATAATTAATTAATGTTTTCGAATTAATTCAATGAAAGGCGCTTTAAAATAACTATCAAAAGTCATTTTTGTTGATAGATATAAACGTTCACAAAAATAACATTTCACAATTGCTAATTTATTCAAATTCTGTTATTTTGTGCCGCTCTGCGCTCACGCTGTTAAAAAATGGTGAGCTTCTAGAGCTATCGATGTTAAAAATTTAACGTGGTGAACTTCTAGACGATTTCTGATCTATTCCAAAATACCAACGAGTAGCGTGTTGCTGCTTCTCTGTTTTAAACGTTCTCTGCTGCTTCTCTGTTTTAAACGTTCTCTGTCTTATACATTTACGTTCTTTGGTTAATGGAGATTTACAAAAAATCCTTTACAAATGATTCGACGTTTGATGTAAAAACGCCCAGTCTGGCAGCCATGCTCCCAAGCAACTCTGTGTGGAGAGTAATTTGTTTAGAATCAAATTTCAAAGCAAAATTTCAACAAAAACAATTATTGTTGTTTTTTTTCTATGGCTACAAAATAAAAACTTGCGATTGTCAAAGCTCAAATCATTGTCAAAAGTGAAGAAGAGCAGACGAAAAAGGTACACATTTGGAAATGCAGAACGAAGGATTTTATTTCTGAAGTAGTAGATTTGCATAGAACATTCGACTGACTAATCGCATGTGAGTGAAAATAAAATTGTGATAATCGTTGTGAAATGTTGAAAATTTTCATAATAACGTATACAAGAAGAAATTGTGCAGTATAGTTACATAAAATTGTGAAAAGGGGCTAGGTGTGGGAGGCGAACGTCGTAAATTCGCTTTCTCATGTCCAACACCTCTACAACCAGAATAAAAATCGATTACTGAATATGGCAATTTGTCTGACAGTAACTAATCCTTTGGGAAAAACCATGGATAGAGTGTACCAATGCAAGTGGATTGGAGGCACAACAGCACCACATCATAGAAAAAATACACAACGAAATAATTGTCTATGGAGCAGCCCTTCATTGGGCAATGATAGCAGAAAAGACAGCACCATAGTGCGTGGCGGAGGCAATAGCGGGCAGCTTGTTTGTGGCCATGCAACACACATACTATACTCACTGCTGCTACTAGCAGCATTAACGCATACCGCCAATGCAACTGCAACGGATATTGCGCTGGACGCAAAGGCAACACTTACACATAGAATTGATAGTCTTAATTTGTTAGTTTACACCTTTTTGCTGACTTTAACCGTACTGACAATTTGGCTGTTCAAGCATCATCGTGTTTCCTGGTTACATGAAACTGGCCTTGCAGTTATTTATGGTAAGTTTAAATGGTACCATATGCCAATTATTTACTGTAATTGCATGCACACCTTATCAAACAGGGTAATGTCGCACTATAATTGTAAAATAGGAAGCATACAACGCCACTCGAAATAAATCGATTCATTAAGCGCTGCGTTTGTTATAAAATTAGACAGTACACAGTTTACTGTGTGCAATACACCCCCTTCTCATGCTCCGGTCATCCATTATTTGGTACTTAGTCGCGCTGACAATAATAAACGCAAATGCAATCAGCGTTGTACAAACAAGTTTTTTATGATGGTGGTGGTGGTAGGTGTTGCGATAATAAAAGAATAATACACAAAGGAAGTATTAATATAATCATTTCATCGCTGCGTGGCACTGATAACAAATGTTTTAGCTACTTTCATTTTCAAAAATACCTTGCGTTTTCAAACATTTGATACTTGCAAAGTAATAAAATAGCCGGCACTTATGCCCTTCTAGTGAATTTACTTTTTCACAATATTCCATGCAATTTTTTTCGAAAGAAGTGCTTCTGATATCCGGACACATATGGTGGAAATAAAAATAAATAAAACTATTAGTGAAATACAGCTGAGTCCAACAGTTTTCCTTCGTTGTATCTTTAATTTCTAACAATGCCTGTATGTACATATGTAGTAAACTCGTTAATCATAGCACCCGCTATTAACTCCACTTGCATAGAAACTTGGCTTAATAGATAATTAACATGTCAACAATAAATACATACCTACATATACTCGAATGAGTTAACACAATTTAAATTTTGACGTAAACAGTGTTCTATGGCTTATTATTTGCATTTGAATCCATAGACTTGTCTACATTTATGCACATACATTCATATGTACGTAGTATATACATATGTACATATGTTTATGTATGTATGCACTTATATATTTGCAATTTAAATGTATTTTTCTACGAAACATTATTGCAGCTGAACAAATTTCCGATTTACTCAGAATTTAATCAACTACGTTGTTGCTGTTGTTACCAATTAACCTAAGTATATGTAATAGTCACGTCCAGTGGTATTAAAAATTTGCTACTATAGAGTTATAATTCGTTTTATTATTATTTTTCTTTCTTATACATACATGTGGGCGATTCCAGCGAAAAGTCTTCCGCGAAAAAAAAATAAAAGTCCTATATAGGTTGTTGTTGTTGTTGTTGTTGTTGCAGCATACAAGTTCCCCAAAGGGTTTTTGGGGAGTGTTGCTACAGTAACAGTCCTTGGCCAGATATAAATCTGGTCGTTCCGGTTACGTAGACCCGACTGTCGTGGGAACGCTTATTGAGCGTACTTACTTATAGGTTGTTGTTGTAGCGTCTACTAAGCCCCGTTCGGGACGGTTTATCCATCATCGTTGTCGTCTATTTCAGCTAAGGGAAAGCCCAGGAAGTGTGCGACTTCCACAGGGGCTGTCCATAGGGACAGGGGCGTTAGCTGAGTGGGATTCTCAGGGCATGCGAAGAGGTGCCGGGAGTCATGTGGCGACTCTCCACATGCCGGGCATTGGTTGGGCACATCCTCGTTGATTCTGTTCAGGTAGCTGTTGAGCCTGCTGCAATAGCCAGAGCGAAGTTGGGCTATTGTTGTGCGGGTCTCCCGAAGCAGACAAAGTTCTGTCCCGTCCACGTCCGGTGGTTGTGTGCCTAGAACGGCATTCACAGGGCGGGAGTCTACATAACTTGAGACTGATTCCCTGTGAAAGCCGTTGAGGGCCTGTCGGTAGGTTGTCGGGTCCAGAGGTTGTTTAATATACCTCTGGACTTCGTCTGTCAGTTCGAAAATATGCCCTGACGTGCCGTGGCGAGGGCTCCTCCGCGAGCAGTTGCCCGCTGGGATGGCCACGTCTGTAGCTTCCAGCGAGGCGTCATCAGGAGGCATCCTGTCGCGGTACGTAATGCCGTGTTTTGGCAGGTCTGCAGCTTCATCCACTGCGTCCTGCTAGTCCGCGGCGACCATACGGGCGCTGCGTAGTTCAGAACCGGCCGGCCAATTGCCTTGTATTTTGCCAACAACTTATTTATAGGTCGATTTGGCTGCTTTTTATAATATGTATTGGTTATGTAAGCAGAAACATTTTTGCCAAAAATGGCCTCATTAGGTGGCGCCAGGGTTAAGATATTTTGAAAACTCGTATGTTTACTAATATCTTTAAATCGCTTTTACCAACAGTTGTAATTTTTTTAATGCATTAGGGGCCATTTAATTGCTATGCAAACCTAGATAAACTTTTTTAAAATTTTTACTTTTTCATTTTTTTTTACATTGTTCATACCAGGGTTGTTGCGAATATTATTCCAAAATAAAAGTCCTTTCCTGATAATAAACAAATAGCCTGTCCAAATTAAACAAATTTGGTATCATATGAAAGAGGACTGAAATAGCTTTTAAACCGAAATAACGAACGACCTCTATTTATATATTTTTTATAATTTAATACTAAAGAAATGCATATACCTGACACAAGGTTTGTTCTATGGTAATTAATTAACATTTTTTGTTGAAATATTTTTCAATATGTGGCTTTCCTCGTTTAGACATTTCAGTTTTAAAGCTATTTAAGTCCTCTTTCATTTGATACCAGACTTGCTTAATTTGGATAAGTTTATTATCCGAAAAAGACTTATTTCGGAATAATATTCGCAACAACCCTGGTTCATACAAGTGCCACGTAAAGCTAGATTGGAAATACCCATATGTATGTTCATATTGTTATCGTAATTCGGAAAGGCAAATCGTTCCTACGAAAGTCGGGACTACGGAACCGGAACAACCCAAATTTATATCTGGCCAAGGACTGTCACTCTAGCATCACTCTTTAAAAACTCTTAGGGGAATTTATATGCTGCTACAACAACAACAAAGACCCTAACAAATAAATTGTCTACAGTAGAAGCAGAAAACAAAAAGATAATCTAAAAACATAAGTTTGTACATATAGAACTTTTAGAAAAGTGATATATAACCCAGTTGTTTTTGGTACTAACACTTAAAAATTGGCTTTGCCTGGAATCCAAGCGTCCTTCGAAAACTGGCGTTTCTTTCCAGTTTTTATATATGTATGTACATATGTACGTACCGACCGCTGGAAATGGAATGTTCTTTAGCAAGGAGATTGACGTCACGTGGGGAGAGTTGTCCCACTGCTCAAACCGGGGAAACCTGCCAACAAAGGTGATTCGTATCGACCGATAACACTCCTTTCCCCGGTAGCTAAGACACTTGAGGCCTTGCTGCTCCCGTATTTCACGAACCGTAAACGTAAGTGCACAGTACATCTATCGCACTTAACGCCATAAACACTCAGATAACTCGTGGCCTTAACCGTAACCGTCGCTGTGAGAGAACGATTCTAGTAGCGTTGGACTTGTCAAAGGCATTTGACACTGTCAGCCATTCCACGCTACTAGAAGATATAGAGGCTTCCTCTCCCACAGAGGCTCAAACGGTGGTCGACACTCGTCGGTAATGTTTAGAGACAAATCGAGTAAACTCAGGAAAATAAAATAGGGGGTTCCACACGGTGGTGTCCTTTCCCCGCTACTGTTCAACATTTATATTTCAAAGCTCCCTCAACCACCAGAGGGAGTCTCGATTGTCTCTTACGCCGACGATTGCTCGATCTTGGCGACTGGGAATGGAATTGATGACATGTGTTCGAAATTAAACGGGTATCTCTCCGAGCATTCTCGCTTCTTCACTGCAAAGTGTCTAGCCCTCTCCCCTACGAAATCCTCTGCGACCTTGTTCACCACCTGAACGAAGGAGGTCAGGCTACCGCTGGGAATTCACGTCGATGATACACCAATTCCGACGGTGAATAACCCCAAAATACTCGGAGTAACATTCGACAGCCTGCTCCCTTTCTCTGCGCACGCAACCGCTATTGTCCGGGGACTAGTAGGACGCAGTGGATGAAGCTACAGACAGCACAAAACACCGCACTCAGGACAGCGACTAGATGCCTCCTGACGAGGCGAAAATGCTCCCAGTCAAGGAGCATAACATAATGCGCTGCAAGCAGTTTCTGGTTGGGAGCCACAGATGTCAGCATACCGACAGTCCCTGACCGGCATTCACAGGGAGTCAGTCTCGAGTTATGTAGACTCTAAGACCTGTGAATGCCGTTCTAGGCACACAACCACCGGGCATTGACGTGACGGAGCTTCATCTGCCTCGGGAGACAAGAACAACAATAGCCCAACTTCGATCTAGCTACTGCAGCAGGTTGAACTCATACCAGAGCAGACTAAACGCGGATGCGCCAAATGAGTGTCCGGCATGCGGAGAGACCCCTCACGGCTCGAAACATGTCTCGGAAAACCCGACAACCCTAACGGCTTTGTCCCTGTGGACCGACCCAGTGGAGGCTGCATGCTTCTTAGGGCTGCCGTTAGTGGAACTTGACGACAACGTCTGAGATATCAACCGATCTAGGCGGAGTTGCTGTAGCCGCTACAACAACAACAACAACAACGTGAAAATGCTATATCATTGAAATACATATTCGACGAAAGGTCGCGAATCCTGGGGGTCTACTCTGTATTGTGATTCAAAACCCTAGTCATTCGAAATTCGAATACTTCTATCTTTTTTGTCCGATCAGTTCAAATTTATTTTATTTTATGTTTGTAGGCTAGTCTGATCTTTTCAGTTTTCAGGGGTAGTGTTTATTTTATCTGTTACAACAAATATACAAAAATACAAAAAAAAAACACACATTAAGTATCGGGTGAAAAGTGGAATAAAGTAGTTTTATTCGCACCAGAACTGAAAAATTCGAATACTTGTCATTATACATTTTTATTAGTCCGTGTCGCCCTTCGAGGCGCATTGAGTTTCGTATCGTAATACAGAGCAAACCCCCTGCTCTTTTTGATGGCCTCATTTCCCAAAGACGGTTTTTGCTCCAATAATCAGCCATGGCCGTACTGTGGCTATTGTTCATAATGAATGACCCTCGAATGAATGTCATA